CAACTAGTTTTGTCGAAGCATCTAACTCTATCTTGATGAAATGCATGCTTTGTACTTGTGTCATGGTTCTTCTCATGCTACGATGAGACAACCAAACACAACCAAAACAAAGATGAATTTTCAAAAATAAACTTTAAACCTGCACCCGAATGCAACTTTTCCACCTAAAACCTAACTGAATCAAATCCAACATCTGCACTTGCAAATGTGTTGTGTACACTTGGGTTATATATAAGAAAGTATACGTGTAAAATGTCATAGATACACATTTATTATGTATTCAACTATCCAATATAAGAAGCTGAAAGAACACTTCTGTACTGTGCTTGTATATATAGAAGCATTTAAATAACTTTAAAAAATACTTTGAGCTTGACTTTTAGAAAACTTTGAGTATCTTTACCACCTATTAACTTTACTTGAGGGCATTCAACACTGGCAAAACCAAGAAAACCAGGCCCAGTTGGTAGCTGATATACTTCCAGCTCATGTTTTTCATACGTTATGACTACTAAATGTGTGATTTAAATAGTTAATGCATTAATTATTTCATGCAGGAAAGCAGAGCTGTATGGCAGCTTCAGGAGGGGGAAGGGCTTACATGCCCTCCTACCTTGGTTTTCAGGAACCGGGACTGGGGATCCCGGTGCTGCTCCAGCTCATCCTGCACGTGCTTGCAGAAAGCCACCGCGTACTGGCGTCTGTAGTGCGGGCTGAAGTTTTTGATGACGGCCTCTGTTTTTCCTGAAGCAGAAATAGAGATTTAATTGTATTTAATGTACATCGGCTCAGAAATTGTAATACAGAACCGAAGCTGTTATCACCAGCGACTCAAAATATTGCCCAAGCATACCAAAGGCCACTTGCTGCACAGCAGATCAGGAAACCCTCAGAGATGCATTCACCTGTTGTGATAACCAAGTACAGAGGGAATTTGTCCAGGTCTTAACGATATAGAGAAAACACTGGGGCTTGGACATTGTTTTTCCTTCTAAGAGTGGGAAAAACATACCCCAAATCCATTTCCCTAAGAAAAGATACTATCGGCTTCTCCCTAGGACATACTGCCACAGAGCCGTGGGTGTTCGAGAGCTGATAAGGTTTTCAAATAAACATATACACAAGTGATACTGGCTAGTGTTTAGCCATATTAGCCAATTTTATCACATAATCAGATTTTAAAGCTGAGTCAAAGCTCCTACAAAGGATGTTTTCTAGGCTTGGGCACTGCAGTCTCTTCTTTGTTTTAATGTAAACACATACTCAGTCATGCTGCAATAAACACTAATCTTGTATTGTCTTGCTATGATCAAGATCTCTTCAGTACCAATAACAGCAATAAACACACTGACAGTCTCATTTCTGGGTATCTTAAAGCAATTTACAAGTAATTAACTTATTAACCCTATCAAAGAAATAATAATGCTTTACAGACAGGGAAGTGAAGCTGAAAGTTAAAGCCATGTGCATGTATGTGACTCAAAGAGTCTGCAGCATTGCAAAAACCAAAACCTGGACTATGCTCTAGATAGCATCCAGACTGTCCTGGATACTGGAGAGATCCCTTTCTTCCTTGTATTAAGGAGCCCCATGACAAAGGTTTTTTTTCTGAGCATAAAACAGAGAAACATAATTTCATACCTCAAGCAATTTTGGTTCTTTTACAATTTTAATTTGTTCTGCCTGGGGGATAAAAAAACCCAAATTTTCTTTATAAGACAAAAAACCTGTAGTTCCTAAACTGTGATTTCTTGAAGCCTCTCATATACATGGGCTCCTAAGCCAGGACTGGCATTCAGCACTCCTGAAGGGCCAAACAGGGGAACCAGCAAGAAGCACTGTGGAAGTCCTGGAAAAGCTGAACCACCTGCATCCTGTAATGATGTTCCCCGATTGACAAACTCCTCTCAGCCACCCACCAGCACTACCACCAAAAGGGATTCACTGTGAGTTTTCATGATGTTTCTGTGGTTTATACAATGGGCTGCGACTCTGCAGCAGCTATGATGAAATCAGAGAGAGGTCTCAACAGATTTGCTCTTTTCATGCATAGAAGCGTAGTCCTTCTAAAGTAACCATGCAAAACTTCCTGCATTGCTACTGATTTATCGTCGTTTCTCACCAAAAAATGGGGTTTAAATGTCAGCGCAGTTCCCAGAATGTTCATGCCTTTTTTAATCTTAAATAATTTTAAATATGATTAAAGAAAGAGAAAAGCCATAGATCATTATGAGAGTAAGTGCATGGGATGCTTTCGTGTAGAAGATGCTATGGTCCAAGATCTACCACTTCTGGCCTTATTTCCATTTAAAATTCCATTTTAAAAACCCCAAATATGCGTGGCTGAGATTGCCATGGAAAAATAGGTAGTTTGCTAAGGAGTTCACAGAGATGGGCAATGGCAAAAGATTTTGTAAGGTGCTGATTTCAGGTCCAGTTCCCATTTGCTCCTAATGTGGGACATTACCAGGCTGTTAGAGGTAATTTCATCAATTCACACAGTTGCAGAATTTAATTACTCCATAACTTCCTGACAATTACATTTACAGTGCTGTAGCTATGTGGACGTGCACACAAAAGAAAAAGCTACACATCAGCTCCTCTGCTTCTGCAATTTTATTTTCAGTTTGATGCACAGAATTTGACGCATCTCTCAAGTTTAGGGACAATATTGACAGGACCTTTCATACCAGCTACTCCTGTGTAACCAGCTGTCCTTCTTAAGCATCAACGGGATCACTGCCTTCAATTAAAACTGAAAGCCCCTTTCCAATCCCACAACACCACCGGGTTACAAACCTGGCCCCCCCCTTCAAACCCTGCTTGGGTGCACAGAGGAGATGAGTCGGACGACTGATGCGTTTGCAGAGTCATTACACAAAGCTGGAGGGATGTCAGGAGGTCGGGTTAAGTTTTCAGGTGTGTAAGTTTTTCACATATTTACTTGTGGGACAGCACCAGGCGACAATCTGGACTCCAACCCTCCAGTTTTAAGAGACCAGATTTTTTTGAGACCTACCAATTATAGGATGTGCTTGCATAGAATAGCAGGATACCGGTGCTGCTAAAGCAGAAAATCCCTGCCCATCTGACAGCCTTTTAAAAACTAGCCTGCTTTGGGCAGAGGCATAAATTTATTCTCCAAATAAGGACAAAGCTTCCCAAAACCTTCTTTATAGCATTTTTTTTACTTCTGGTCCCAGCCAGCAGTAGGATGTCGTTGGCCCCGGCCCCAGTGGAGTTTCCTGCTCAGGCCACTGCCAGGGTTTGCCCCTGTTTTCCACCACAGTTTTTTCTTTTCCAGCTTGCAGTGGCCTCTTAATCTGTTACAGAGGGCTCCGGGACACTGGACCTCACTTGACTACTGCCTGCATCCTGCACTAAAAGTTTGTAGAGGAAGTGGGACAAAGAACAAAATTCTGGTGTTGGGAAAAAACCCCAACAATAGCAGGAAGTACCTGTAATTTTGGCAAAGTCTTTCAGTTATGGCTAAATGGGCTCAGAAATGTGATTCTTCAGTGTCAACATTTCTTAGATCAGCTTAAAGTATGACAAGCAAAAAGAAAGGAACTATGCAATTCATAATATATATAAGTGAGAAATATGACATCAATGTGATTTCTACGTGCAGAATATACTTACAATCAACCAAAACACAAATCGAGGAGCAAATGTTTCAGGCTGTTTATTCCCGTCTTTGTACTACTTGTTACAAAAGATCTCCATATTAAAAATACTACCCTTTCTTAAAATTAGAAGAAAAAGCTTTTTGAAGAGGTTGTGAGTGGCACTACACGAGGACCTGGCCTTGCACCTCTCAGCTCAACAGGAATTGCAATGCTACCTGCGGGTGGGAAGAGAAGCAGACAGACCCTTGATCTATTGTTCACCAATGGATCTTTAAACTCTTTTGGTTTACAGAAGATAAAAATATGCTATCTGAAAACAAACATGATGGGAACAGTCATGAGTAATACAAACTCTTCCCATGAAATGATAACATGGGGCAACCGGAGATAAAATACTCCAGGGCAGTTGAAAAATGAGTTCCCCTAATTCTTTTCCAAATTTAGTGTGGCTTGCTTAGTCAGAGCTGTTTATATGGAGCAAGGCCAATTTTCCCACTCGGTTGGTCTGGCAATGGTGCAGCTCCAGCCCATATAAATGTGATCTGAAACCCAGCAGCTAGATTGATGTTTATCCTAGGAGAAGACAAAATGTGACCATCTCCAGTAGAAACCTGCATGCAACCGAAATTACCAACAGTGAAAGACAACGGTGATAGAAGGATTTCTGCCAAATTAAGGTGGCAAGGGTCTGCACACACAGATGTTCCCCCTTTGTTGAGGGTTTAGATCCTGCTACTTTTCAAACGCTTCATGATGCACCTCCTCTTCTGCAGAACCACCCTTGATCACAAAAGTTGAGCATGAAGTTATGATACGTCTTTTAAGACTAAAACCAAATGTCATTGCACTGAGAAACAAGAAACATCTGCCAGTTGCCCCATTGGAAATCTGGAATCCCTGCCCCCCCCCCCGCCCACGAACTCTGTCACACTAGA